TCACGAAATGAACAAATCTGAAGATACCATCACAAAATGAACAAATCTGAAGATACCATCACGAAATGAACAAATCTGAAGATACCATCACGAAATGAACAAATCTGAAGATACCATCACGAAATGAACAAATCTGAAGATATCATCACGAAATGAACAAATCTGAAGATACCATCACGAAATGAACAAATCTGAAGATACCATCACGAAATGAACAAATCTGAAGATACCATCACGAAATGAACAAATCTGAAGATATCATCACGGAATGAACAAATCTGAAGATACCATCACGAAATGAACAAATCTGAAGATATCATGGAATGAACAAATCTGAAGATATCATCACGAAATGAACAAATCTGAAGATATCATCATGGAATGAACAAATCTGAAGATACCATTACAAATGAACAAATCTGAAGATACCATCACGAAATGAACAAATCTGAAGATACCATCACGAAATGAACAAATCTGAAGATACCATCACGAAATGAACAAATCTGAAGATACCATCACGAAATGAACAAATCTGAAGATACCATCACAAAATGAACAAATCTGAAGATACCATCACGAAATGAACAAATCTGAAGATACCATCACGAAATGAACAAATCTGAAGATACATGTACCATCACGAAATGAACAAATCTGAAGATACCATTACGAAATGAACAAATCTGAAGATACCATCACGAAATGAACAAATCTGAAGATACCATCACGAAATGAACAAATCTGAAGATACCATCACAAAATGAACAAATCTGAAGATACCATCACGAAATGAACAAATCTGAAGATATCATCACGAAATGAACAAATCTGAAGATACCATCACGAAATGAACAAATCTGAAGATACCATCACGAAATGAACAAATCTGAAGATATCATCACGAAATGAACAAATCTGAAGATACCATCACGAAATGAACAAATCTGAAGATACCATCACGAAATGAACAAATCTGAAGATACCATCACGAAATGAACAAATCTGAAGATATCATCATGGAATGAACAAATCTGAAGATACCATCACGAAATGAACAAATCTGAAGATATCATGGAATGAACAAATCTGAAGATATCATCACGAAATGAACAAATCTGAAGATATCATCATGGAATGAACAAATCTGAAGATACCATTACAAAAT